TATCTCTTTGGATTTGAGACTTTAGTCTTTGCAACTTTACAGATCTTCTTTATGCACCAAGAGCTTGTAACACTCTCTTTAATACAAGTGTCCCATACATACTACTATAATTGTCAGTAATGTACATTGTAAGTATAATTATTATTAATTAATAATATAATAATCCAATTAAGATTGTCATTATTTCTGATATTATTGGTATTTATTTACTCAGAAAAATAAAGGAGTGTAATAGATTAAGGTTATAATATAATATAATAAATATAATAAAATATAATATAATAAATACAATTAATATAGGGCTATCAAATCGATTAATCGCAATTACTCTCATCTAAAATAAAAGTTTCTGTTTAAATGATATGTGTGTGCACTGTATATATATGATTTACATTATATAGCAATATAAATATATATTTCTTAAAAATATACATGTATGTGTGTAATATATACATACTGTATATACACAGTACACACACATATATTATGTAAACACAAATTTTTGGATGCGATTAATCGATTTGACAGCCCTAAATATAATATAAATAAATATAAATAATAAATAAATAATAAATGAAATATAATATAATATAATATGATATGATATGATATATGATATAATATAATATTTATTTCAGATGCTACTGTAGTTCAGTTTAGCTCCCATATACAAGAGCAGTACATGCACTCAGTTCAGGCAGACAGGCACAGCCAACACACCCCTGGGCTTAAAGCATATGAGACTGAAGTTTGAGTTCTGAATTCTCATACAGGATAGGTTTTGGGATCCACAACCACTTGCTGATCCTCTGGAGCCTTTCCAGAGAGCCCTGCTGTACTTAATACAATCCAGTCAGGAGATGGGCACAGCTCCAAGAGCTGGTGTTTTTCTCTCCAAAAAGAGAGCTTCATGCAAGGAGAAAGAACAGGGGAAGTGTAGGCCGAGTAGTCAGGGATGGAATTTTTTTTAAAAGCTGAAGGTTTTGATGGAGCGATTCTTTAAAAAAGAAGAAGAAGAAAAAAAAAAGGTTTCCTGATACAAAATCAACATATAAACCAATTTGATGTCTTTCGCTGACTACATCTGTGATGTGGGCTTATGTGTGTCATTGCTGATATGAGATACGCCGGGAAGAGCTGTTTTGTTATATAAATAAACCGGTTTCTGTTTTTCACGGGTAAACCAACCCATTACACAGATAAAAGTGGACTACAGCGCTTTGTTATGATCTACTTTATATGCAAATGTTGCATTTCTATGTATTAATGCTGTTGTGTTGGCATGTCATCTTATGGTACAGTTACTGCTTGATGTTTTTTATAATGCAGCTTGTTCAGAATGCTTTTTTGATTCGTTATCAGCCTTTTCTGCTTTGCTAAAGCTATTGTGTCATGCCCTCTACTGTGGGGCTCCAGGGCCACTGTAGTTTTAGCATGGAGAGAGAGAGAGAGAGAGAGAGAGAGAGAGAGGTTTAGCTCCCATATACAAGAGCAGTGCATACACTGAGTACAGGCAGACAGGCACAGCCAACGCACCCCTGGGCTTACAGCATATGAGACTAAAGTTTGAGTTCTGAATTCTCATACAGGATAGGTTTTGGGATCCACAACCACTTGCTGATCCTCTGGAGCCTTTCCAGAGAGCCCTGCTGTACTTAATACAATCCAGTCAGGAGATGGGCACAGCTCCAAGAGCTGGTGTTTTTCTCTCCAAAAAGAGAGCTTCATGCAAGGAGAAAGAACAGGGGAAGTGTAGGCCGAGTAGTCAGGGATGGAATTTTTTTTAAAAGCTGAAGGTTTTGATGGAGCGATTCTTTAAAAAAGAAGAAGAAGAAAAAAAAAAGGTTTCCTGATACAAAATCAACATATAAACCAATTTGATGTCTTTCGCTGACTACATCTGTGATGTGGGCTTATGTGTGTCATTGCTGATATGAGATACGCCGGGAAGAGCTGTTTTGTTATATAAATAAACCGGTTTCTGTTTTTCACGGGTAAACCAACCCATTACACAGATAAAAGTGGACTACAGCGCTTTGTTATGATCTACTTTATATGCAAATGTTGCATTTCTATGTATTAATGCTGTTGTGTTGGCATGTCATCTTATGGTACAGTTACTGCTTGATGTTTTTTATAATGCAGCTTGTTCAGAATGCTTTTTTGATTCGTTATCAGCCTTTTCTGCTTTGCTAAAGCTATTGTGTCATGCCCTCTACTGTGGGGCTCCAGGGCCACTGTAGTTTTAGCATGGAGAGAGAGAGAGAGAGAGAGAGAGAGAGAGACTGTTATTCCTCTTTGACCTTGGCTAAGGTTTCAGAAGCCCTGCAGGCTCTCACATGACCTTATTTGCGATGGTAGTGTTGACCTGCTAAAGAGTGAGTCACTAAACCAAATTCCCTCTCGTTTTTTTACTTTTTTCAAAATTCCATTATTTAACCTCTTTTTTTTCCCTTTTTGCTTGTGGTAGACTCAGACACAAGGAAAGAAATGTTCCCACAGACACACTGTGCAAAAAGATATAGGTCTGTACAATTCAAGGTGTCAGTTTGACAGTATTTTGTTATTAGTGTTAAATACTTCATGGTGGACAGATATCTTTTGTTGAGCAAGTCTTACATTTACTTTCATAAAAGTATTTGGACACCTAATTTTGTTATGTAATGTCTTTGCATTATATAACAAAATATCAAATTAAATGGCATTAATTTTAAAGTGATAGGACAGGCAAAATGTTTAAGCTTTTAAATGAAAAAAAAATCACAATTTTAAGTGGGCTTAAAGGAATATTCCAGGTTCAGTAGAAGTTATAGGCTCAGTCAACAGAACTTGTGACATGTAAATGCTGATTGCAACAATCATTTATTTTGCATGTGAAAAAACTTTGGCCAAACCATAAACATTAAAACACTCAATAGTAGTAGTAGTTTAAATAGTGTAGCATTAAGATTTAATCGATATGCATGTTAACATAAGCATGGAAGAAATTAGTGCTGTCAAACGATTAATCGTGATTAATCGCATCCAAAATAAAAGTTTTTGTTTACATCATGTTTTATAATAATATACTGTGTATATTTATTATGTATATATAAATACACACTCATACAGTATATATTTTGAAAGTATTTACATGTATTTAAATGTATATATTTATATCTATATAATTTATATTATATATAAATATATTTAATATAGAAATATAACAGATTTTTCTTAAATATATACATGCATGTGTGTGTATTTATATATACATAATAAATATACAGAGTACACACACATATATTATGTAAACAAAATCTTTTATTTCGGATGCGATTAATCGCGATTAATCGGTTGACAGCACTAGAATTTTTTTTTACTAATCTTTCTATGTAAAGATATATCCAATTTTACAACTGTGTTGTCATGACAGTGGAAGTCCTAAAACAACTCTAAAAATGACAAGAACAACTTAACAGCTCAAATAATATGCAGGTTTTAACAGGAGTATTAATATGAGTGCTTTATAATAAGTTTCACAGCTTTTAAAATCTCCACAAAATTGCTCCATTTAATTCCATTTTAAGTGTATCACTATGACCGTGACTTTTGCTTTTAGGGAAAATTTTTGAGAACAACTTAAGAACTCAAAATAATAAAAATGAATAAAAAAATACTTTTTAACAGGCTAATTTATGTAAGACCTTTTATAAAATTACAGGCTTCACGTTTCTGATTTTAAATCCTCCAAAATTGCCCCATTTATTTACATTGTAATTATTCATAATAATTACCTCAGCATAACCTTAATAATTAATATATTAATAATTCTTTCTTTGTTTCTTTCGAATATGAGGTACGAGTCAAAATAATTTTTTTAATCAACATAATGCCACAATTGCTGTTGTTTGAGCTTAATTTTACTAAATAGCTCTTTAACCGACTCTTCCTGTCAAAAAATGACAGATTCCACAGGCAAAATAATCTATTTCTAATGACAAGACACGATTAGCGTGGCATAATCGCCCCACTTTTTATTCACTGGGGCTCTAAATGGCAGCCTGTGGCTAATGAGGCTGGATGTGGGTCAGTGGGAGAGAAGAAAACAGGGGGAAGTGACCGCGCGTTTAACACACACCTGCCAATGAACAGGCTTCACGTTTCTGATTTTAAATCCTCCAAAATTGCCCCATTTATTTACATTGTAATTATTCATAATAATTACCTCAGCATAACCTTAATAATTAATATATTAATAATTCTTTCTTTGTTTCTTTCGAATATGAGGTACGAGTCAAAATAATTTTTTTAATCAACATAATGCCACAATTGCTGTTGTTTGAGCTTAATTTTACTAAATAGCTCTTTAACCGACTCTTCCTGTCAAAAAATGACAGATTCCACAGGCAAAATAATCTATTTCTAATGACAAGACACGATTAGCGTGGCATAATCGCCCCACTTTTTATTCACTGGGGCTCTAAATGGCAGCCTGTGGCTAATGAGGCTGGATGTGGGTCAGTGGGAGAGAAGAAAACGGGAAGTGACCGCGCGTTTAACACACACCTGCCAATGAACAGAGGTGAAGAACGGCTTTTCATTCAACCCACAGACTAGAGAGCTTTAAACATCCTGAAGGACTTGTTGTTGTAATTTGGTAATGTTAACAAAATAGTTCGCTAGTTTCGTGCTAAGAATTTGTTTGTTGAAACTTGTTTGTGTCTGAAGGCTACACTTAGCATTATTAAATTATGTTGGTTCTTGCATTTTAATACAACTTTTTTTTATTTATTAAAAGTTTTCCATAATTATCACTACAGCCTTAAGGTGTGCCACTGTGTAAACGCTGCTTTGTTTGCAAAAAATAACATTAAAATCACATTGAGACAAACAGAAATGAAAATAATTCAATTAGCCAGTCAGTGGGATGCACCAAAATTACTAATTTCATCAGAATAGATGTTATTTGTATGTTGTCGAGCAATGGACAGAGCAAGCGTGAGAATGAGCCGTTTCTTATTCAGCTGTCCTGAAGCTGAATGTCATTTCACAAGGTTGGCTGTAGGCCATGAGTGCACTTGTCCTACAGGATAGGAGAGAATTACTCCCTTCAACCTGAATGAGCTTTTATCTCCCATCTGCCAAAAGTAAAAGTAGTTTTCAGTACTTTGATAGAGTTAATCCTGAATAACTTCACACAAGGGAACATTAATCACCTGAGAAGGTAGACTGTGAGGCAGACAGATTAGATGGAAGGATGAATAAACAGACAGACAGACAGACAGACAGACAGACATAGAAAGATCCAAATCAGCCAAAAAATACCAAATCAGCATATTAGAATGATTTCTGAAGAATCACATGACACAAAAGCCTGGAGTAATGACAAATCTAAAAATAGAAATCATTTCACAATATTAAAGTTTCACTGTATATTATATAGCATGTATATACTCTATACTACTTATACTGTATACTACTACTACTACTACTACTATATACTTCTTATACCATTTTTTAAAGAAATCTCTTATCTTGTATAGATAGATAGATAGATAGATAGATAGATGCAAATTAAAGAAAATAGTGTTGTTTTACTCACTATAGAGCGAGTAGCTTTTGTAACAAAGTGACATTGTTTTTTTTTGTTGACAGTGCCCAAAGATGGTCTGAAGAATCAAGGGGCATTTGAGGAGATGCGGGTGAATTACATCAAGGAGCTCCGTCGCTCAGTTGGGAGAGCCACTAACAATTCCGGCCAGACATGGCAGCGCTTTTTCCAGCTCACCAAGCTTTTGGACGCAATGCATGAAGTAAGTCGAAACATTCCCCTGCTATTGACCTCAGTCGATAGATCAAAGACAGATACAGTTCTGCTCTAATTATCCAGAGTGTTCTCATTCAGTTCATGGGTCTCTTGGGTCACACTTTACTTTAAGGTCCAATTCTTGCCATTAACAAACCATTAACTACGACTTTTGCCTCAATAAACTCCTAATTTGCTGCTTATTAATAGTTAGTAAGTAGTTGTTAAGTTTAGGTATTGGGTAGGATTAGGGATGTAGAATATGGTCATGCAGAATATGTGCTTTATAAGTACTAGTAAACAGCCAATATGATAATAATAGGCACGCTAATAAGCAATAATAATGGTAAGAAGGATACTAAAGTGTTACCGAAATATCGAATTTTCATAATATCTGTAAATTATTGTAAGCTTAATTTTAAGTAATGCTCAAGCAAATCGGTTTTAATCGTCTTGAGTTGAACACAAGAAAGATTATTTAAAGCAGTGTTAATTTTAAGTAATGCTCAAGCAAATCGGTTTTAATCGTCTTGAGTTGAACACAAGAAAGATTATTTAAAGCAGTGTTTTCCCCTTTTTTTTTTTTTTAAAGAAGAGGACCTCTAAATTTAAAGGTGACTGTGTTTTTTTGTGTATAAAGATGTTTATACAGTGTGTGAAAAATATGAATTATAAGGGAAAAAATGCCAAAATTAAATAATTGGCTTTTTATTGTCATTGCACTAAAACCATAAGACATTATTAAATGATTATCCTGAAAATATTTTGTATTTTTTAACCTACTATTAACGTAAGATATTTACTTTTTTCTTATTGTTATTTAGTAGAATAAAATAGGTTGTGATTAATCTCATGATTTGTGTCCAGATCAATTTTTGTGTTAAGCATATTTAATATCGTAAGTGTACGACCCTTGTGGTCCCTGGATGTCTGTTTGATTAAAATATCAGGAGTTTATAGACTTTGTTTCATATAGTAGAAATCGTCTGCTTTATTTCTATAATATCTGTAATAAGTGCAAGCACTTTCCTGACTAAAAAATTGACACCTATATACTTTAATGTATTCTGGTTTAGATCAAGTAGCTCAAATATTTGTCTAGAAACAAATCAGAATTAGCTGATATTTATTTAATAAATATTTCATATTCATTCATTAGAAGTAGCTCACAATTGCTCATGTGGTTAGAAGCTGAAAACCATTAATATTTCAAATCAGCAGATGTTAAAATAATTACAGTTGTAGATTATTAAAGAGTTATAATATCAAGTGTGCATTCAAATGAAAAGCTGCCATCCTTCATGTTGCCACCGAGAGATTAGAACCTCGGTTTATTTCTGAGAGCTGTTCATTGTTCATCACTTTTTGCATTGCTGCCAGCTCAACATTTTGTAATAGCACACAAAAGCACTGGAAAAGACGTTTTTGAATTGCACTTGGGGGTGAAGAACACTTGACAGCAGTGTTGATTTATTTGTAAGATGAAGAGAAAACAAGTTCAAGTTCTGCCTAAAAGCTTTTCCGCTTTGGTCAGTGAGACAGAGCATCCATAAATGAGCTCGGCCACTCTGCAGTTTTTCTTTGCTAATTCATCAATACATGTTTACCCAGACTCATGTTTCACCAGAACGTCTCTTTAATGATAAGCACTGTCAGTTTGAATTAAATCTGACAGAAGTCTCTTCTCCCTCTCTCTTTACAGCTCGTAGGGAGCCTGTTGGACTTTTGTTTCTACACTTTCCGTGAATCCCAGGCTCTGAAAGTCGAGTTCCCCGAGATGCTGGTGGAAATTATCAGTGACCAAATACCAAAGGTGGAGTCAGGCCTAACACACACCCTCTTCTTTCACAAGAAATGACTGAAAGCTTGCAAAAGGAGGGAAAAATTAAGGATCACATGAGAGGAAAAGCAGAGGACACTCAGCCCTCAGAGAGCGAACAAGAGCAAGCCCGCTATGCACAAAGCAAGGCATAACGAGAGGCTTGGTTTAAAGCCATATAAGGCTTGCGTAGTGCGGTAAGGCAAAGAGCGATCTCTGTACCCAGCCAACGGAGAAGAACTCATATTTCATGTTCAGTGCGTTCCTTACCCCCAAAGACAATGCTGACAGTGTTCTATATGGATATTAAGCCATATTCTTTGGTAAAGTTATAGTGCACAGTCACACACAGAAATATGGGCCCACATACTAGACATATCCTTGACTCCCAGACCTGTCAATCTGCCAGTAAATACCATTGCGTTTGTATGTAACTCTCTTACAATCTGCTGCTCAGATTAAAAAATTACAGGTAAGATTCAGTAATAAAACTGCTTTTTATTGCTGGTTAACATGGAAATATTGATTAAATTGGGGTGTTTGCAAAGAGGAAATAAGATACTCCAAGGGCTACAATATAGCTATTCTGAATAATTGTAGAAAAAATGTAATCTAAATTTATCTGCAAAAATGGCATACATGTGTATTTTGATGACTTGAAGTGTTTACATAGGCCATGCTGATTCAGTGCTGCGGTGGCCTGATGATTGATAAGCTGAAAAAATGGCAGCTCCGAAAAAATGCTATTGGATCGGGCAGACAAAAAAAAACATGCAACTTTGCAATACAGCAAATATTATGGCTCGTCTTGTAAAAAATTGAGCTCACGCAAACACACATGCCACATTTTGTGCGCACGCTTGGACTGTAGCAAATTTCGTAAATAGTACCTAAGCTGTTACTAAACCAGCTCCCTTTTGACGTTAAGGAAAATACAGTACTAATTTACAGTTCCACACAAGAAAATCATTTTATATGATTGTGAAGTTTTTGCGTTTCCAAGAAACAATCCAGCTAGAAGCCATTTTCTAACAAGGTGCTTCTGTTTTCTTAACGTAAATAGTAGATGATTTTCAGTAGCAGCACGTGTACAGTTAGATACCGCTTTTCTGAAGCATACAGCTTTCATATTAGTAAACAACAATAACAGCTGTAGTTCACGTAGTAGTCTATTGTAAGAAACACACAGGGTTACATGGACTAATAACAACAGTAACCTGCTCATAAACACACAATATATGTGTATCGTATGATTATAATTGTTGCTTGTAGGAATATTTTTTTCAAACGTTGTACATAGGAAGTTTTTGATTTCAGCAACCTTGCAATTAAAACTTGGCTATTTGGGGAAATACCAGTTGACTTGAGAGTACTTGAGTTAATTGTATCTTAAAAAGGAATTTGGACCACTTTTTCATGTTTCATAACCCCACTGTGCTACTGATTGGAATCAAAAGAGGCTAGTTCTCAAATGCTGTGAGTCTGAGGACAATGAAGGTTTGTGTGTGTATTTGCTTTTCTGTTTTTCTCTCAAATTTCTTAAAGGCACAGGATAGCTGACTCATTTTTGAGAGGGCATTGTTGGTTTTCTCTGATAGGATTAGAATGATCCTATTGGTTGATTTTCATTTGCACAGACACCATAATGTGATAATTGGGATATTAGATGTTCTGCTATTGTGTTGGTTATGTAATGTGCTTTGGGGGGTGGGGTGGGGGTCAGGTTGGGACATTTGTGAACTGGAAAGGTCCAAGAACTTTTGATGTTTGCCTTTTTGATGTAGCTGGTTGGTGGTAAAAGACTGTTGGAGGACAAAAAAACTAATTCGAATAGAACAATCCAATCAATCTGTGGTACCCAGGCAAAACCCATTTCACCGACCTGTCAATACACTGTACGTTGAAAGTTTTTGATGGACCTAAAACTAGGTATTTGCAGTAGTCTCTTTTTCCAACCTTTCCCTTTTTTAAATACACAGATCTATAAATGAGAAGAAATGTTAAAAGGTTCATAGGATGCATGTGAAGTATTTTTGAGAGATTCTATTTTGCTGGACACAGTATATTAGTAATTTGTCTAAAAAGAGTATCTGAGATCCTTTGTAAAGTGAAATGTTTATGCATGCTTTTTGAAAAGATGTTTACAGTGTATTTAAGAAGGGAAACTTGTGCCTTTTTTCTCACAAAAGTTACCATTTTACAGTATCTATTGTAAATAAATCAGTGAATTATTATGTTGTGTTGTATGGAACATTTCTATATTAAATATTTGTCAGACGTTGGGATGAAGTTCACACATTTCCCTTCTAACAGTTACTGACTGCCCATCAATCAGAATCCAGCGCAAGAGCCAGAGAGCATGATGGATATACATTTAATTGATCTTTACTTTTCACAGCAAGAGAGACTTGTTTACTTCCTGAATGTCACTATAACTTAAAACTTGTCATTTTGCTCTGTAGTAATGTGAACTAATTGTCTGTTTTTTTTTTTGTTTTTTTTTCTCTTTGCTTTGCCTACAAATCTAATAAAAACACAATGCAGTGCTCACATCAGAGGTTAGCTACATTAAGCTGAAATGAAAAGTACTTGTGGTTGCCAAATATTTTAGATTTTTTTTTTAAATAAATATATAAATAAAAGTCAAACCAAGCAAAAAACATTGCTTTTTTTTCTTCTTCAGTGCTTCACAAGTTATTGTCTTGTGAACCAACAATGCTCTTTATTTTTATTTATACAGAATATGAAAAATATATGGAATTTTTTAAGTCAAATTCAACCTTTATGTAAGAAAAACCTAAAGACAAAACTAGGACAGGGAGCAAAATTGAACCGGAACTGTCTGATATGAATTCAGATGTCCATCAGCAACTTAAGAGAATATAGATTGTCATGCTTGTTGCAGCATGTTTGCAATTTGCGTTTCTCCATCACCAAATGATGAAGCTTGAAATACTGAAAGTTGGTGTGAATCCACACTTTTGAGTTGCTTGTTACTTCAGCTTTGACAGTCTGCATACGACTTTTTAGATGTGTTTTTGGGGAGTCTAATAACATGTAAAACTATGCATTTGTACAAATCACATTACCACCAAGCAGCACCTTTGTGCAGAATAAGGGCAAAGCATGGTAAAGGTAACCAGAGTATGTTGAACCAGAATAAAATACAGCTTACTATATTGAAACCCCACAGATCACATGTTATGTTTGCACATTAACACCCTTGTGTTAATGGATATTGATTTTTCTTTTTTGGGGATAAATCTGAATCTGTGTGCTATACATTGTTTAAAGTGACAAAGCCATATCTCTTTTGTGATAAAAGAGCATTTCCTGTTCATATTTTGATTTTTTCCCCCTTTTTTAAAAATCAGTGCTTTGTACAATACTTGTTAGCAAATCTCCTCAGTACAGAAATATTCAACATAAGCAAAAGACAGATGCAAATAGTTCCTCTAAACTGTATATATTGATGCAGATCTTGCCATAAGTGTGTTTGCAGAAACATCAAGGGATTCCAATAAACCTCTTAACAATTAATTACTGTGCACTATTTCTTTTGCCATTAAAGACAATTCATAAACAATCAAAGATCAGGAACTGGTGTTACTTCTGCTGTAAATCGCAATTTATACAACAGACATTTAATGTTTTTATTTTTTTTGGTCTGGAGAACATCTACTAATATTTCACTAAAACTACTAGTATTTCAAGTACATTAGCAAGTGTATTTGAATGTAGTGATGAAATACGCTGTTATTTTTTTTTTTCATTTAACAGTCCAGTTTGGTGATTTGTTCTGGGTTAACTTAAGGACAGGTCACAAACTACATGCCCTTGTATTGCTTTTGTGTTCATTTTTAAGTGCAACTCCCACCGAGACTTTCAAATGCAGTGGATTTTCTCAGATGATCTGCAGGACCATTAACGTCGACTTCCTTTTCAAACAACTATGTAAATAAAATCTGTCTGAAAAAATCATCTAGCGAGTCAACTAATGAGCTTATTGTAAAGTTTTTTACACTCAAAGTTCAATTTGTTAACATGAGCTAAGAATAAACAACACTTTTACAGCATTCATTAATGTAGGGTCATTTTAATTTCTATACTGATAGATTTTTAATTGCTGTGTATAAATTAAAGGGTTAGTTCACACATAAAATTCTGTCATTAATTACTCACCCTCATGTCTTTCCAAACCCGTAAGACCTCCGTTCACCTTCAGAACACAAATTAGGATTTTTTTGATGAAATCCCAGAGCTTTCTGACCCTGATCCGAAGATGAACGATGGTCTAACGGGTTTGAAATTACATGAGGGTGAGCAATTAATGACAACATTTTCAAAATTCTATCCCTATAATATTTTTGTATTTTGAATTAATATGAAATAACAATGAAGGAAATCATATTCATTAAACTAACATAGTTGCAATAAAACTGAAAAACCAACAGACCTTTTTCTTCATATTGTTTCTATTTCCCTATATCATTGACAGAGAAAAAAAAATGTAGGGCTAATAAACTGAACCTTATTTTAAAGCGTTACTGCTCATACTGTAGATGTTTTAGAGATTTAGGGGTCAACTGTAGTGGATAGCATTAGGAAGGGGATGCTGCAGACATCTGAGTGGGCGCTGAGTGAATGGAAAGAAACAGCAGCAGTAGGAAGAAAAGGAATGGATAAGAAAAAAAAAACTGGATACAGTATGTGGCAAAGCCCAATGGAAAACAGAAAGAGAGAGAGAGAGAAGAATGCACACTAAAAGAAAAGAGGAGAGTAGGTTTGAGTGACAAAAGTCATAATTTAAACCTCTGGCAGATTTTAGTTTTGACAAATTATATTTCTCCAGGGGAAATGAGCTTGAATGAGGAAGTTATTATGGTAATATGTGAAGAAAACAGCAAGTCTCGTATGCATTTACTGGTCTAGCAGTGACGGAAAAATCCTTGGAAAACAGCACCAGAGAGCGAGATCTTCTGACAAAGAACATAAGCATTAACAATGTAACACCTCCACGTCCCCAGAGCGAAAATTCGCCATTAACCTCGTTAGAAGCCCGATCTAAAAAAATGTGCTTGTTTGCCAGACTGTGAGAGTAGACGGTATTACTTTTGCTCTTTTGCGCAAATCCGCAGCCCACTCCAAATCTCTCCCAGATTGCCAATAGCGCAAACTGTGTAGTCCTGCCAGATAAACAGAATCTATTGGATCAGGCAGATTTCAGGGCTGTGGCTTCACACATGGTGGCTTCTGTGCCCCAAATTCTCTGCTCACAGACACTCAATCCTTTTCTGTTTTGTTTTTCACTGTCCCACCTTCTCGGTCGCATTCATCCGAGATATAGTACGTAACAGTTTGTTTATATTTCATACAGTACGTAGCTGCATGCAGCGCAAAATACTCAGCATGAAGTGAGTATTCTTACGGCAAAAAGTAACAAATAGATGTTACCTTACTTTCCCAGTTGATTGATTACATTTAGAATTGCAAGTTTATTACTTTCGTTTACCTGCACATTTTTTTAAATGTTGGTTAAATGTGTAAATGGGGCATTATGTAATTATATAGGCCTATATATAGCCTGCAACAACACCTTAAAATGTTTTTGCCTGTGGTGTCTTGCCTTAGAGCATAAAGAAAGTGTACTGTACAAAACAAGGAGGACGGATATGCTGACCACAAACTGAGTGCGCCGGAGGAAACGAAATGAAAACATTCAGAGTTTGGTGGAAAAAACAAAGTACACAGTAGCGTCTTCTTCTGAGATAAGATGTAGTTCTGCATTACGCCGTCTCACTCTTTCAGGCAGTGAGACATAGGAACAAGAGACAATACAAATGGTGATTTGGTGTTAAAAA